ATACTTATATACACAAATCAATAAAATACTTAGGTATAGTCTTGCTAATGCCTAGTGACCAGCGATTTAATTAAAGCGGGGTCTTTTCCCCTGCTTGCTGTTGTTCCAAAATAAAGAGTTTTGTGACTTTCCTTTTATGATTATAAAGGTGATACGTGAAAGGTACAGATGAATAAAAAAGGCTATACCTCTTAAGGGGCACCTGGCTGGCTCAGTCAGGAGAGCATGTGACGCCCGATCTCTGGGTCAGGAGTTCGAGCCCCATGTGAGGTATAGCGATTACTTCTAAAAAAAGCTATACCTCGTAAAATTAAAATTATAGTGCCAAAATTTCCTCCCGACATTGGGTAAACATACATGCCTTTTTAATATACATACTTTTATATAGCACACGTCTTTTTAAAAGGCATCTATAATTCTATCCTCAACTTAGAATCCACTTACGTAGCTTAGCCTCAGAAACTCTCCCTTCAAAAGCAGGTTTCACAGCTGCCAAGATTTGGTATTTCAATCCCATGATTCTTTCTCGTGAATATATATATTCATAGCTATATATAACTACAGCTCTATAGATCTTTCCCAGTTTTCTTCCAAAGGTATTCCCTAAAGATTTCACTTCCTTAAGAGCACCCTTTCCTCCTTTCAGTGAGGCAAATGAAAATACTGCCTGTCACCTGCTAGACCCTTCCACGTGTCTTTAAAAGCCCCCAACTTCTCCTCCCCACCCTCCACTCCAGATTTGTAGCTCCAGACAATTGTTATCTGAAACTTAAACACAGTTACTTCCTTCCCAGGTCGTTGTTGTTTTTCTTTTACTTAATTGATATTGATTGTAATCCTACCCTGTGGCCCCTGGGAAGCTAGACCAGTTTGGACAGGGCAGGACTTCCATCCTGACATTTAAACAAGGATTTCAGTACTAGTGGCGGTAGTAAAGTGAAACAATCCAGACGTGCTTAAGGTAATCATTTTAAGTTTCTTTCAAACCCACTCCATGGGAAGGTGAACTGGTGCAGCCGCTCTGGAAAACAGTGTGGAGGTTCCTCGAAAAACTAAAAATAGAACTAGCCTACGACCCAGCAATGGCACTGCTAAGTATTTATCCAAGGGATACAGGTGTGCTGTTTCGAAGGGACACGTGTACCCCCATGTTCATAGCAGCACGATCGACAACAGCCAAAGTATGGAAAGAGCCCAAATGTCCATCCATGGATGAATGGATAAAGAAGATGTGGGATATATATATGCAATGGAGTATTACTCAGCAATCAAAAAGAATGAAATCTTGCCATTTGCAACTACGTGGATGGAACTGGGGGGTATTATGCTAAGTGAAATTAGAGAAAAACAAATATTATATGACTTCACTCCTATGAAGACTTTAAGAGACAAAACAGATGAGCATAAGGGAAGGGAAACAAAAATAATATAAAAACAGGGAGGGGGACAAAACATTAGAGACTCTTAAATATGGAGAACAAACAGAGGGTTGCTGGAGGGGTTGTGGGGGGGGTGGGCTAAATGGGTCAGGGGCATTAAGGAATCTTACTCCTGAAATCACTGTTGCACTATATGCTCACTAACTTGGATGTAAATTTTAAAAAATAAATTAAATAAAAATACCAACCCCCACCCCCCCAAAAAAACACCCACTCGAGTTAGCAGTTGCATTGCAGTGATTTTCAAACAGTGATTTTCATGACTGGGACTCTGAGTAAGACGCACACACGTACATATAGATATCTGATTTTTCAACAAACATGACTTACCTTGGGGCGCCCGGGGGGCTCCGTTGGTAGACGTCCGACTTCGGCTCAGGTCATGATCTCGCAGTTGGTGAGTTCAAGCCCTGCGTGGGGCTCTGTGCTGACAGCTCAGAGCCTGGAGCCTGCTTCGGATTCTGTGTCTCCCTCTCTCTCTGCTCCTCCCCCACTCACGCTCTCTCTCAAAAATAAATAGACATTAAAAAAAATAAAAAAAAAACCATTACTTTCCTTTACTTCACGGAAGGCAAAGGCAGTGGTATCGTTTAATCTGTTCATTCCGCATCTTTGCTAATGCTGCTAGGTTGAACCACATGAAACAGACAACTTCGTAGTCAAAATGGTCAAATACAGGTGACTTCATATGGTTCGACTAATTTGTGACACTACAATCATTTCACAATCTACTTAATGGGCTGCATCCCGTAGGAAAGCACTTTATTTGTTTCTAAGTGTATTTATTCATTTTGAGGGAGAAAGTGCATGTGCAGGCGAGCAGGAAAGGGGCAGAGAGAGAGAGGGAGACAGAGAATCCCAAGAAGGCTCCCTGCTGTAGTGTGGAGCTGGATGTGGGGCTCAGTCTCACGATCACGACCTGAGCCGAAATCAAGAGTCAGACTCTTAACTGAGCCACCCACGTACCCGGGAAACACTGTTTAGTGGGTTGTTATTTTTAAAATTAAAATGAGATTGAAAACGTGTTTGTTTGTTTGTTTGTTTTTATTTCACTTCATATGGCATGAGATCTTTCCTTGCAGATACACTATCCCTCTACCTCACCCTTCTCAAAGGCTTCATGGGATCCACCACCCAGCTTAGGTTACGGATCCCCACTGAAGGCACTTGGATGTTTTCCAATTTCTTGTTGTTTCAAACCACCACGGTGAACTTTCTCGTCATAAATGTTGCTGTGTCTCAAAGCCTTTGAATGGGGAGTTAGGCTCACTTCTTTCCCCCTGTGTGTGCTTGGTGGAGGATAAAACAGTACTGACCAAGGAGACTCAGCCAGGGACCCTGTTCTGTCCAGCCCTCATCTGTCCACAACCTTCTTCTGCAGGACTGGAAGCTCAGGCTTGCTCCAGACCTCTCCCTCTCTAGACAAACACTATGGAGAGACCCTGAAAAACAGTGCATTTTAATGTCAACCGGATCTGAGTTTATTTTTTTCATATATATTTTTTAAAGTTTATTTATTTTTGACAGAGAGACAGAGCATGAGTGGGGGAGGGGCAGAGAGAGAGGGAGACACAGAATCCGAAGCAGGCTCCAGGCTCCGAGCTGTCAGCACAGAGCCCCACATGGGGCTCGAACTCACAGACAGCGAGATCATGACCTGGGCCGAAGTTAGCCGCTCAACCGACTGAGCCACCCCGGTGCCCCCGGATCTGAGTTTAAAGCGCTGCCCAAGTTGGCTCAGCCGGTTAAGCATCCGACTTCGGCTCAGGTCGAGATCTCAGGGTTTGTGAGTTCGAGCCCGAGTCGGGCTCTGTGCTGACAGCTCAGAGTCTGGAGCCTGCTTTGGATTCTGTGTCTCCCTCTCTCTCTGTCCCTGTCCTGCTCACACTCTGTCTCGGTCTCTCAAAAAGTGAATAAACGTTAAAAATATATATATTAAAAAAATGCTAAAGTGCTGCCCCAGCTCCTTAAGTTCTCTGGACTTCACTATCACTATCTACAAAAAAGAAACCTCTCGGGGTTGCCAGGAGAGTGAAGTAGAAAAGGTGACGAGCTTTATAAACAAATCACACAGAAATCAGCCATTATTTTCAGCTTGTGCCTGACTGTTCTCTCCCCAGCACCAGTCAGAGCCTACTCTGTTACCCACTCACATTTACCCTGCAGTGGGATGGGGCAAGGGCTCAAAATAAGACCATAAGCTTAGCTCACCCTTCTGACTTTACAGTTTGCCTGGCCCTGGCCTCATTTTCTTCACTTCTTCAGGACTTGAACGCTAAGGTAAAGAACTAAACTCTTGGGACAGTCATTCATTCACTAACAAATATTTATTAACTACCATACGTCAGTCATTGTGCTAACCATCGTGTGCGTCTCAATATTCTCACTGGCAAAATGAAGACCAGTGCTTCTCAAACGAGAAATGATGGGCATCCTAGGCAGAACAACTCTTTGTGTCATCTAAACAACAGGAACTATATCTTGTAATTGGGACAAGCCCAAAATGCTCCAGCACATTTCGAAACGGCCCCTAGGGGGCATTTTCGCCCGCGACGAAGAATCCCCGGCCCACCCTCTACGAGTCCAGGAGACGGGGAAAAGGGGAGGCCCTGTAACTGGCAGGTTTAGAATGATGCCGAGACCTAAGATGAGCAGGACCTGGATCATGTTTCCGGGGAACAGGGCCTTACACTGGCCCCCGGACGAGCTTGTCAACATCCTTGGGGCTGTCGATTCCGACTCCTGAGTCACAACTCCTACCCCCTGTGCAGCCAAGATACAATCCAGGTTTCCGTTCCTGGCCGAGTCTGGGTTCCTGGGGAAGAAGGAATGGCGGTGCCCTCGTCCCCCAAGCCCTCGGGAAGCGAAGGGTTAACGCAGGTGGCCCCGCAGAAGCCCCTAGCACCGCTAGAGGGACCATCTCGGCCCCACCGCCAGGCGGCTTCGCGGTCACGTGGGAGCGAGGGCGGGACCCAGCGACAGGCCGACCAATAGGTTGCGCTGTCGGTGGGCGTGATAGCCAATAGGAGCAGGGAGAGGGGTCCCGGGACTAGGAAGAAACGGCGGCCGGGAGGGGGCTACTGGGACCATGGGGCTTCTGACCATTCTGAAGAAGATGAAGCAGAAAGAGCGGGAGCTGCGACTGCTCATGCTGTATCCTCCTGGACGCCGGAGCCGCGAGGGTAGCGGGGGCCCCGCCGGGCGGGCGGTGCCAGGCGCCCCCTACCGGGCGCGGGGTGCGCGGCCGGCGCGTACCAACTGCCCATTGTGCGTCACGCACGTGGGCCCTACCAATCGCTCTAGCGGGGTGGGGGGGCGTGAGGAGGTCGTACCACCGGCTCGGGGCGGGGGGGTCTCCGTTACCAAGGCCAAAGGTGAGGGCCTACAGGCGCAGCGGCTAGACTAGATATCCCTATGCAGGGGGCGGGGAGGAGGACCGGAGGCGACTCGGATGCCACCACCCGTCGGTCTGGCCCGAGCGTGAGGCCGCTGTCCTCCCTGGCTCTGACCTTCCTCCCCTGTCCGAGGGTGCCAGACCCCGGCCCCGCCCTCAAGGTCGGAATCCCGGGGGCGTGCGGGCCCCGCCCTCGCTTTGGTTGGGGGGGGGGGGGGGAGGCCGGTGTAGACGCCTCGGGTTGTTTTCACCCCTGTGTCCAACTGCCCGTCTGTGTGGCTCCGCGGTCGGTCGTTATCTCCCGTCCCCTCCCCAGGCTGACTGCGTGTAGGCCCGAGGGCCCCGCTGACCTTCCGAGTCCCGTTAACAGGCGCCTGCACGCCTTCTGCCCCCTCTTATCCTGGCCGCGTCGGGACTCCGCTATCCCGGAGCTGGGCGGATTTCACCCAGAGCTCCCCTAGCAGGGGAGAAAAGACATTTAAGTGTACAAATAACTATAATAGTCACATCATGTCTCTTTTAAAAAGCTCTCTTTTAGAAAGGCGCCGAGAATCCACCCATCCAATTAAATATTTACTGAGTGCCTACTACGTACTAGGCACTCTCCTAGAGGCTGGGGTAAAACAGCAAAACCAAACCCCACCGTCTTGGACGGTCCGTAATGCTGTGGGGAGAAAGCAAATAGGTAAGCTGTATAGGACGTATGGGGGGAAAAATGCAGTTTAAATAAAGTGGTCAATGAAGGCCACAATGGAGAAATTGACAGTGGAGTAAAGGTGAGGCGGCGAGGACTGAATCACGTGGATATCTAGGGAAATTTGTTGATGCAAAGGTCTGGAAGGAGGAACTCAACGGGTGTGTTCAAAAGAATGTCGAGGAGGGCAGTGTGGCTGGAGAGAGTGATTACTAGATTACGAGATGAAGACAGAGGGGACTGAAGAGCCTTTTGGTTTTTGGCTTTTCCTTTCGATGAGAAGTGTGGAGAGGAAGCATGATCTCAGGTTAGGTGTGCCATTGCCCCGCCACAGGCGAGATAGGATGGTGGCTTGGATCAGGGTGGAAGCAGGGAGGTGATGGAAGATGGGGAACATTTTGCCTACAGGCCCAGCAGGAATCGCTCCTGGATTGGGCACAAAGTGAGAGGGAGAGCCAAGTCAAGCCTGACTCTGAGGTTTCTGGCCAGAGCGGTTCGAAGAATAAGGAACCACTTGCTGAGATGGGGAAGGGGGGCAAGGAGCAGGTTCAGAAAGAGGAGATCTCAGGTTTAGCCACAGAAGATGCCTCTGAGACATCCTCTAAGTGCCAGATGGGCAGCTGAAGAGAGGGACTGAGTCCAGGGGAGCAGCTGGGTGGGATGTGTACTTTTAGGAGTCATTAGCATAAAGGTGGTATTTGCGGGGCACCTGGGTGGCTCAGTTGATTGAGCTTCCGGCTCTCGATTTGGGCTCAGGTCACGATCTCTTGGTTCCTGGGTTCGAGCCCCACATCAGGCTCTGCACTGGCAGTACAGAGCCTGCTTGGGATTCTCTCCCTCTCTCTCTCTGTCCCTTCCCTGCTTGTGCATGTGCTTTTTTTTTTTTTTTTTTTTTGGCATGTGCTCTTAAAATTAAAATAAAATAAGCTTAAAAAAGAAAAAAAAACCAGATGGTATCTGAAGCCATGGTCCTGGGTGAGAGCTCTAAGGGATGAGTGTGGACAGAGGAAAGGACCGAGCTTACCTAGATAAGAGGTCAGGGCGATGAGAACCAGGTGAGGCAGTGGAGGAGGGGGCAGGCCACTGTGTCAGGTGCTGCTGATGGTGCGGGAAGACGAGGCCTGGTTACTGCCCAGAAGGAGAAGAACACGAGGTCTTTAGGTACCTTAGTAAGAGCTGTTTCAGGGAAGCAGTGGCAGCAAAAGCCTCAAGAACGAGCAGGAAGGCAGAAATTGGAGAGAGGGTGCTTACGAACAATGGTTTTGAGAAGATTTGCTGTCAAGGGAAGGAAGTAAAGGAATAAGAGGGAGAAGGGATCAAGAGAGGGTGACGTTTGCTTCTCCTAAGGTGGGAGAGACACCAGCTTGTCTGCTGATGGGAATGATCCAGTGGATGATGGAGTTGGAGTTGGATAATCAGAGGTGAAGGCTGGGTCTCAGGAGAGCTTCTTGGTTCCCCCTCATTCCACTGGTTTGAGTCGCCTGGGCCCGCTCCCAGCTGCAAGCCCCCTCGAACGTTGGAAGGACAGAGGAGGGTGGTTCCCATTTGTTTGCGCACTCAGCAGCGGAGGGTTTGGAATATTCCAGAAACAGAAAGGTGAGGCTGGCTACCCCCAGATATTTGCTCCTGCTGTTCCCTCTACCTAGAATGCTCTTCCCTTAGCCCTTTGGAAAGCTGGCTTCTTATCGTTTGGGCCTCAGCCCAAGACCCCGAGAGGGGTGCCTGAGCTAAAGGAAGCTCCTGCAAAGGCCCTCCCTGAAAGCCTCTTAGCTGTATTCCTTACTCACCAGGAGCTGACGGTACCTTGAGTCTCATTTGTTTGCACTCTGTCGCCTGTCTCTACACCGGACTAGAAGGTGCACAGGGTGGGGACTTTGACTCTGGGGTACCCACCCCCAGCACCAGAGGAGGGCCCGGCACATAGTCAGTATTCAATAAATATTGTAGAGCGAATGAAGGAATCTTCGGTCAGGACGAGATGATAAAATCTTTATTTCTTGATACTTCCCCATTTCTCACGGGCCGATAACTTGGGGCTCAGGCACGTGCTCAACTCATTTGATACGTGGCGGGAAACCATTGGTCCCCTAAAAGAGGGGCACGGCGGTGATGTCACCACCCTGGGCAGAGCACGGGGACTTCTCCTTAACCTGGTGTGCCCCAGAGGCCTGGACAATGCTGGCAAAACAACCATCCTCAAGAAGTTCAACGGGGAAGACATCGACACCATCTCCCCGACACTGGGCTTCAACATTAAGACCCTGGAACACCGGGGGTGAGTGGGGGCCCTACAGCGGGCTGGCCCAGAGTAGGGCAGGGAGGGCGGGTGAGGGGCCAGGCTGACCCTCTGGCCACCCCATTCCCGCCCAGATTCAAGCTGAACATCTGGGATGTGGGCGGCCAGAAGTCCCTGCGGTCCTACTGGCGGAACTACTTTGAGAGCACCGACGGCCTCATCTGGGTGGTGGACAGCGCCGACCGGCAGCGCATGAAGGACTGCCAGCGGGAGCTCCAGAGCCTGTTGGTGGAGGAGGTGGGCAGGGTGGCTGGCCAAGCAGGGGGGGGAGCCAGGCTTCCATCCAGGCCCCCACACTTTGTGCACATACGCGGATGTGTGAGCAGATTCCCTGAGGGGTCCGTGACCCCAAAGGAACACCTGGGGGGGGGGAGGGCTCTGTTCCTTCACTGAGACCTCACCAGGTGCCCACCCTTGGGGAGGCAGAGACAACCTGTACATTTGGTCCAGGGAAACCCACAGTGCCGTGGGCAGGGCATGCTGTGAACTGGGACCTGGGTTCACGTCCCTGTGATGTCACCGCCCCACCACCCTGAACTTCAGTTTCTGCACAGTGAATGGGGCTCTCGGGAGGCTCATCTGAGGCCAGTGGGTGGAGCTTTGGGAAGCAGCGGAGCCTGGCTCGGGAGTCGGCCTCTCCGCTGTGTGACCTCAGGCAAGGCACTTAACCTCTCTGAACCTCCACTTCCTCGTTTCTGAGCTGGGCATTATAATTAGGGTGCTCTGCTAACTTATTAGCTGGGCCAAAACGCTTTAAGTAAAATTTTAGTTTTACAGAAAAGTTGCGAAGATAGCTAAGAAACAAATACTTTTCACTCCGCTTCCCCTGTTAACATCTTATGCAACCACCCTGCATTTGTCAAAACTTAGAAAGTAACATTAGTAAGTCACTCTTAACTAGAAATTTTACTTGGATTTCACCAGTTTTTCCACCAATCTCCTTTTTCTGCTGCAGGATTCGTCCAGGGTATGACACTGCATTTAGTTGAAAACAAGGACACTTTTAAGAATGAAAGAGGAAGTTGTTAATACTTACGCAGGGACAACAGACAGCAACAGGACTGTTCTGGGCACACAGGGACAGGTCACCTGGGGTAGCAGGAGCCACCTCCAAGGGGTGTCAAGCAGGTTCAGTGAGATCATGGATGTCAGTGCTGAGCCCTGGCCTGGCACCTCGAGGCCATTTGTCAGGGCTAGATCCACCTGCTTATGTGGAGGGACTCCTGGCGGAAATACACACGTAGAACTAACTGGAAGCAGAGGCCAAGAGTGAGGCCTGTGAGGGTAGTGCACAGTTAAAGGGCAACATGAACTTGGGAAGAGGGAAAGGTCACTTCCAGCAGACCCCGTGGTCTCCAGGACAGTTGCATTCATTGCCCATATCAGGTCATGGGATATGGGAGCCGTTTAGAACCAGAGGGCTTGGGGATCATGCCCGTCACCCCCTCCCCATTTATGGTGGAGGAAACTGAGGCATAGAGGGGAGAGGTGCCCACTGGGCCCCAGCCTAGGGCTCTGCACCACCCCCCCTCCCAACCCGCTCCAAGTATGGCTGGACTCACAGACCATGGCCATGGTGCTACCCCACTTGGGCCTCTCCTACCACCCCAGGGCCTTGCCTTGATCTTCCAGGTAGATCTCTGACCCCACCTGCTCTGGGTGATGAGGGGAGGGGCCGGGCTGCCCTCTGAGCCCCCACTCCCAACCCCCTCCCCCCCCCCGTTTTTTTCCCCCAGCGCCTGGCTGGAGCGACCCTCCTCATCTTTGCCAATAAGCAGGACCTACCCGGAGCGCTGTCCTCTAACGCCATCTGTGAGGTGAGTCCGGGCCTTGGCACAGGTTCGTGGAGGAAAAGAAGCACACGTTTTCTTTGTTAACTTGTTCGACAAGCATTTAGTAGCCTCTCCTGTGTGGCAGGGCCTATGCAGGCCACTGGAGAGTCAGTGATTAATGAGACACGGTTGTGCCCCACAGCCTGGGGGAGGGCAGGCCTGCGAACATGATCCTGCAGGACAATAGCAGCCAGCCAGTAGTGAGTGCTCCCATGCCAGGCTCTCTGCGTGGATTATCTTGACATTCAGTCCTCACCCCAGCCTCACGGACTAGGAACTGTTACTATCACTCTATAGATGGCGAAGCAGGTTTAGAGAAGCTAGGCGACTCACCCAGGGTCACACAGCCAGGGAGCAGACAAGCCCGGATTTAAACACAGGCCTCTGTGTCCCCAAATTGTATCGGTCCTACTTCTGATTCTAGGGCTTGAAGCAGCAGCGTGAGAAAGAGTAGGGTTAGAATCTTGGTTCTATCACTTACTAGCTGTGTGACCTGAGGCAGGTTGCTTAAGCTCTCTGAGGTATTCTAAGTAAAATGCCCAACAATCCCCGGCTCCTTGGGCCTTGGGAAGAGTGGATGGGAGGACGTTTGTGGGGCTCGTAGCACAATGCCTGGATCCTAGCAGAAGCTCAGGAGCCTGCGTCCCTGTTCAGTTACTGAGGGGTAGCACCGGTGGGGTTGGGTGCCGAGAGCCCAGGTGCGCTGAGGGGCTGACAGATCTTCCCCAGGGGCCAGGAGAGGCTCCTGAGAGCAGGCCCTAAAGGGAGGCATGAATTTCCCGTGGGCCAGGAGAGGGAAGAGGCGGTGAGTGGGCAGGGCCTGTGGTCCCCAGGGCCCACCGTCATCTTCCCCCCTCCCAGGCCCTGGAGCTGGACTCCATCCACAGCCACCACTGGTGCATCCAGGGCTGCAGCGCCGTCACCGGGGAGAACCTCCTACCTGGCATCGACTGGCTCCTGGATGACATTTCCAGCCGCGTCTTCACGGCCGACTGAACCACTCCAGACGTTTCCCCCCCCCCCTCACCCCCACACCTCACAGTCCAGCCCCCTCCCCCGGCCCTCATCAGGCACCATCCACGGGGGGGGGGGGGATGGCAGTCGGCCAGGCTGACTAACACCCCCCCACCCCACTCCGTAACCTGCTGCTGCTAACACTACCCACTGCTTCTCGGCGGCCGGCTCCCGTGGCCGGAGGGCTGCTTCCCTGGCTGTCACCCTGGCTCCTGACCCGGCCCGCCTGCGGAGGAGAGGGCTGGGGCTGGGAGGGGGCCGCCTCTGCTGCTACCAAGGCTGTGGGCCTCATCCTTTGCTCAGCTGTGAGAATAAACCGTTCCCTGCCCCACTTCCTGGTAGAGTCATGCGTTGATCCAGCAGCTTTAAGACCCCCACCCGGAGCCCAGGGCGCAGCAGGGCACAGAAAGGAACGGGTCATTTCAATCAGAGGGTTAACCGCGGCAGTGTCACAGGGACAGACAAAGAATTAGAGGAGCACAGGACAGGGCGGCAACGAATCCCACTTGGAAGAGTCCAGGCAGGCTCCCCAGAGGGAGTGACGTTAAAGGCGAGAAAGATACAGAGATTTGCTCCTAAACTGGTGTTAGGATTCCTTCCTGGAGAGGGAATGTGCAAAATCCGGGCTCTGTTAGGGTGGACGAGGGGAAATTGGCGTTAGGTAGACAAACTCAGAACATAACCTGTCCTACCGTGTAGAAGATTAAAACGACCTGCCCTGTCCTCTGTGTGAGACACTGTGGTCCCCGCGCTCCCAAGCCCTATGGTGCGTGAGCACACCCAGGCTCCAGAGCCAAACCCCAGCTCTGCCACTCACCGGATGATGCTGAGCAAGTTGCCTAACCTGTCTGTGCCACAGTGTCCCCGTCTGGGGGAGAGATCCATGGCACCGACCTGCTAAGTTTGGGACAAGGACCAAATGGGTGGGTGTCTTGTGTGTCACAAGCACTGCACAGTGTTAGCTATAATTATCACTATTTGAACCAGTAAGAGCTCAAGCAGATCCAGTGGATGTGAATTCAGCCATCCACTGATCCAGATGAGTCATCACAGCGTTCAAGTCCTCCCGGGGCGCCCCTAGTAGTAAGCAGCATCCTTGAGTTAAAGCATGAATTATGCATGGGTGGAGAAAAAGAAGAAAATAACAAGGCCATTCTCATTACCAAGGCTTGCAGATGGGGAGTGTGAGCTGTGGCAGAAAGCCTACATCCTGCACTCAGCCCAGTGGGAACGTGGGGAGCCCTGCTGGCAGCGGGGATCTGCAACTTGCCTCCCTCTGCTCCTCCCGCTGATGGAAATGGTGGTGCTCCTCCCGCCGATGGAAGTGGTGGAGGTGGAGTCTGAAGGCCGGGGGCGGGGGGAAACTGATCTAGATAGGAACGGGGCTTTGTGGAGTTATTTCTAGAAAATGTATTGTAAGCCCCGGAGGGTGAAGGGGGCAACAGCTGAAACATCCGCAGTGTTCTGGTCTCAAGGCTGTCGAACGCGACAGCATCACGAGGTACAGAGCCCCGTGCTCCCCCAGAAGGCAGTTAAGAAACAGACCCACTGTAATTGCCTGGCAGTCCGTGAAACTGCACGCGCTCCCTGCGTGCTTGCACATAAACACCAGATGTGGGTCTCGTTAATGTTTAAGACCCTTTGTGCTCCCTTTCATACTTTGAGGCTCTTTGATGTTTATATCTAATGGAACATGAAATAAAGGCTACGTGTAGACCCTGGCGGCCGCTACCCTCTCGCAGAGGCTCTGTGCCCAGCTTAGAGCCTGGAGCCTGCTTCGGATTCTGTGTCTCCCTCTCTCTCTGCTCCTCCCCCGCCTGTGCTCTCTCTCTCTCCTCTCTCTCAAAAATAAATAAATAAACACTTAGAAATAAACAAAGCAAATGGGTCTGCAGAGGTGTGTACCGTTCAAGGGGATATCCCATCTCAGCGCCCTCCCCAACACCTCCTGGTTATCTACCCTCTGCCTGAGCCTCCACAAGTCTTATTTGGGAGTTTCCTTCACCTCTGTCT